CAATCCCTGCCTTGTCTTAATTTCCAGAACTTGTTACTCCCCAAATGTTAGCTAAGCCTTATGTCTTGACACTCCCACCTGATTGGTGGCTCCCGAAGGTGGAACTGTGTAGTTCTCCCTTCAACCCAAGGGCTCTGTGAAAGCCAAACTGTCCTCCATCAGACTGGAAGGTTCGTGCTACAGGGACTCTGTCTCCTCCCATAGATTAGGGATTCTCTGCAAGCTGACACTGCTCTTAGCAGGCTGTCTCCAGCCAAAGAGATCATGTGTGGTAAATAACCCAGCATCTTTGGCTCCCTGACGAGTGTTTCATAAGCTGTACAAGTCTCTAGGGGTATAAAATGCAGATGCCTCATAGCTTACATGCTTCCTGCTGTGTGAGTGAATCCAGCAAAGCCTCATTTGGAGATCACATCTACTATCCTCTGCCAGAGAGTGGATGTCTGATGTGGGAAGGCATGACTGGGGGATCCACCCAGGATGCCCATGACCTCTCTGTGCTCTGTCTGTGCCTCAGTTGTCTGTATCCTGGAAATTATTAGTGGAGCTTGATACTGGGTAGAGCTCTGCTTCATGTGAGTCTGATTCGTCAGTCTGATCCTGTGTGTTAACTCCATATTGTACTTCAGTTAAGAAGTAGTACATGGATAATGCTCCTTAAAAAAAACTCCACTTGAACCAACCCCTTACCCCCATTCTCTTCCCTTCCTTATATGGTATGCTCCTTGCCAACCCAGCTGAGGAATCTGCCATTGTGAGTTTGGTATATATTATTCCACACTATTTTTTTTTACTGTTACACACACAAATGAACACACATAATCACACACACATATTATGTCTATATATATCCATATAAACATATACTATTGGGGTTTTGCGTGTATGTTTTTAGTGTAATTGGTGCCATGAGAACAAATCACTCTGAAATTCGTTTTTTTGACTCGATGACATGTTTTTAAGACCTAGCTACATATCTAGTTCATTCCATTTTTTTTTTTTTTTTGTGAGGAAGACCAGCCCTGAGCTAACATCCATGCCAATCCTCCTGTATTTGCTGAGGAAGACCGGCTCTGAGCTAACATCTATTGCCAATCCTCCTCCTTTTTTTTTCCCCAAAGCCCCAGTAGATAGTTGTATGTCATAGTTGCACATCATTCTAGTTGCTGTATGTGGGACGCGGCCTCAGCATGGCCGGAGAAGCGGGGTGTCAGTGCACGCCTGGGATCCGAACCCGGGCTGCCGGTAGCGGAGCGCGAGCACTTAACCGCTAAGCCACAGGGCCGGCCCCAATCCTCCTCTTTTTTTGCTGAGGAAGATTGGCCCTGGGCTAACATCTGTGCCTATCTTCCTCTACTTTATATGGGATGCCACCACAACATGGCCTGATAAGTGGTGCGTAGGTCTGTGTCTGGGGTCAGAACCAGCGAACCCTGGGCCGCCGAAGTGGAGCACGTGAACTTAACCACTATGCCACCAGGCTGGCCCCTAGTTCATTCCTTTTGATTGCTGTACAGCTATGAATATGAAGACACTGAGTTTTGTTAAGCCATTCACCTATTGAAAGACATTCAGGGGCCGGCTCCGTGGCTTAGCGGTTAAGTGCGCACACTCTGCTACTGGCGGCCCGGGTTTGGATCCCGGGCGCGTACCGATGCACTGCTTCTCCAGCCATGCTGAGGCGGCATCCCACATACAGCAACTAGAAGGATGTGCAGCTATGACATACAACTATCTACTGGGGCTTTGGGGGAAAAAAAAATAAATAAAGTTAAAAAAAAAAAAGAAAGACATTCAGAGTAAAAAAATTTTTTCATTATGACATTTATGTAATTTATAATAATATTACATTATATTTACATTCTTTCCTTATTTCATTAAGATGTGTATAAGGATGTTCATTTCAAACAACGCTGAAATGAATGTCTTTATGCATGTATTGTCTACACATGCAAGCATGTGTAAACATGCTTACCTAGCATCTGAATTGCTCTGTCATAGGATATGCTTATTTCTACTCTTAAGAAATACTGCCAAATGGCCCTGAAGAGGGCCTATATTAATTCACACTTTGATGAAGAGTGGGTAAGTGCAGTTAGTGCCTTCCATACCCCCTACCTAACACTCGCTAGCGTCAGATTTTAAAACTTTAATGAAAAAGGCATTTCATTGTTTTTTAAAGTTGTATTTCCCTGATTAATATTTGAGCTGAGCATGTTTCATATATTTATTAGCCATTTGTATTTTCTCTTTTGTTAATTGCCTATTTATGTCCTTTTTCATTTTTAAATTTTGTATTTTTCATATTCCCATAAATATTCACTATAGTAGTTTAACCTTTCTTCCAGATAATCTAAGTGATATCCTTGGCTAAACTGGATCCCTGAAGGCTGCATTTCAACCATATCCCTTAATCTCTCAAAGAATGGGTCTCACTGGACTGGGTTATGCACTTGCCTTTGATGGAAGGTTGCTCCAGCCACATCAAAGCCATATGAAAATCGTCACCATGTTTGCATCTGAAAATATCCAGACACAATCACTCCCAAAGAAAGTTTCTTGTGATATATGTTATTTTTTAATTCAGTGCCAGGAAAAGTTTTACTTCCCTTGACGAGCTGGTCTGCTTTGTCCTTTTGATAATAAGCCCAGAGCACTGCTGTAAATCACTTTCTACCCTGGCTACCAGGAAGTTTAGCTGTGACTCTGCTGTTCAGCTACTGCAGCTGGGTTGGCCTATCCAGCCTCATTATTTTGTTTCTTCTTTTTTGCTGGTCATGATTTTATTTTTTATGTGCTTTGTTGTAAACTGCCTCAATTCTTTTGTGGAATTAGAGGCTGGGGGAAGGAGCGGGAATAAAGGAGGGGCAAGAGAATGGAGGGGAGATAGGGACAATCTACTTTCTTTTTTTTTTTTAATTGAGGTATAATTGACATATAACATTATATGAGTTTCAGGTGTAGAATATAATGATTCAATATTTGTATATATTGGGAAATGATCACCACAGTAAGTCTAGTTAATATCTGTCACCATACATAGTTACAGAATTTTTTTTCTTGTCCTGAGAACTTTTTTTTTTTTTAATTGATGTTTTAATGGTTTCTAACATTGTGAAATTTTGGGTTGTACATTTTTGTTTGTCCATCACCATATATATGACTCCCTTC